TCAGTGCCCCTGGCTCCAATCCCTAGTACCCCCCCCCCCCAAAAAAAAAAGACAAATAAAAAATTTTAAAAGCCATGACTAGATCTTCATTCTACCAACATATCAATCGGAAATTTCCTGGGGTTAGGTGATCAAAAATTCAGTGTAAGAATTTGAACTGACTCAGGAGCTACACATAATTGTCTTGTTTGAGGCATTTGATCCATTCAGATATGTTGATTTCATAGTTTCTCAACTTTGGATGATTACTGTATTTCAACCTTTTTCTGCCTGGCCTCTCTTTTTCTGAGTTCTTTTATGTGATCAAGCTTCCTAATAATCCTTAATTGTCTCTTCTGTCTCATGCTTTTGTTTTCTTGGTTCTAGTGGGATATTTTACAGAAATCTCTGTGGGTTTAAGACATTTTACAAATATCTCTTGCTTAAGACATAATTCCAACAGTACTATTATCTGCTAAGCTCTCCTAAAAGTTGGTCGGCACCTCTGTGGTGACACTCTCCATTTATTTTCTTGTTTTATGTTTTTCTGTCTACTGACTGATCTTCTCTCATCAGGTATGTTTATATTGTATCTTTGTAACCTTTGTGTCACTTTTTAAAATTGAAAAGAATAGGCAATGTTCATCTCTATGACATAGGTAAATAGAAACTTTAAAGTGTGATAGTCATGTGTCTTCAAGATAAGATCAACAATAACAGGATTACAGTTGTGTTCCAAGTTAGGAGATTTTCAAATTACCAGTGAATGCTGATAAGACAAGAGAAAAAAAAAGAGGCAGAGGAGGAAGAGCTCTGAAGTATGCTGATGGAGAACTGAATCTTGGGTCAAGACTCCTAACAGTCTTGAAAAAGACGAAGCAATGCTATTTTTTTTTTCACCAAAATGAAGTGGAAAATTGATTTTAAGTGCTCTTACACAAAAAATGCTAACAATGTGAGGTAATGCATCTGTTAATTACCCAGATTTAACTGTTCCACAATACACACTTATTTGGAAACATCTTGCATTATATAATATGTATACATGATTTTTATTTGTTAATTAGAGTAATTATTTTTTAAGTGGAATTGCCTGTACTCTGTATAAAACATACATATTCCCCAGAAAAAAATCCATAGATATTAACATTTATTGAAAATGAGTTTCAGCCCTGAAATATGCATTATATAAAAATGCTGCTGATTAGTCAATCTGAAACCTCCTGAGTTGATGGCAGCAGAGAAGCAACAGAAGATACTCAGTCATTCATAGTCTGATGTTTGGAGGTGAATTCTGAAGAACCTGGATGGTGGCAGGAGAAAGCTATAGATGCAGGAATAGAAAGGGTGCCATCACCCCAGCAATAGAGATTCTGATGCAACTAGTTCTTTCACTATCTTTATATTAAGACCTAAAAAACAATATCCCGGATATTTTATCACTGACAACTGCTTCCCTACACACAAAATAGAAAAACAGAAATATAGAAGGAACAAAAATTAAAAGGACTGAGGGAGCAAACAATAAAGAGTATTTATGTACACTAACATATTGTCTGGGCAAAGATGGAAATACAATCTCTATTTTTAACTTTTACGACTTATTAGAAACATTTTAATGCAAGAAATTTGATGGCGAGAAAGGTATTTATGAAACTATTTTTTTAAAAGCTTTGATAAACACAAACTGAATCCATTTTTTTTTTCTTCTGATCCACATGATGTTGGGTGGGTAGCTGGTTTCTTTAGTTCTTTATGAACATTTTAAAGTGATAAAGAGAACCACAACAATTAACGTCTGTAAATTGGTGGATTCCAAACCACCAAATCTGGTTCCAATGCAGGCAGCCTTCCTTAGGGCTACTGGTGGGAGTTGTCTGGGGGCTCCTCTCATTTGGGAACTGGAGCAGTCAGCTGGTCCACCCCACCTCTAGCATTCCCATGTTCCTCAGTGATATTCCCTAAGCTTCCCTATAAAGCTACTGAAGATTCTGTGAAAAGATGTGGGGTCAAATACACACTGCTCACAGATTAAATGTCAAAATCAGAACATGATAGGAAGAACAGAACAATGAAAAAATTAACAATAACAGGATCACGGGTAATTTAGGGAGCTATCACAGCTTCCAACCCCATTCCTCCCTACTCAATCTACCTATCCCAAGTTGTCTTAGAGAAGATGTGTTACAATTTCCTTAAAAAAATTAATCACCAATATTTTTCTAAATGATAAGCAAGAGAGTTTTGAATAATTCATCAAAGTCCTCTTGATCAAACTCACTGAAAAGGAGTAAGCACACACATCATCTTTGTTTCTCCAACCTAGGCAGGGAGAACTCTCCATGCAGCCTCTGGTCCCTTCTTTCTGGGGTTCCCAGAGAGGAGCCTGAGTTTTGGAAGTGTCAGAACTGTGTAAATGCTGATGTATAGACCACAGTTGTTTCTCTCAAAAGGACTTCAGAGCCCTCCCCTTTCCTCTGTTCCCTTCAAGTTGGGAATGATTCATCAGCTGGCCTTCAGCAAGAAAAGAGGCCAGCCTGAGGTCTTAGGCCTTTGACCTCTGTGAAGAGAAAGGTCATACTGCGGGCAAGTGTGCAAGCTCCAGAGCAGGAGCCACAGGCGTAGAAATCCAGGCAGGGGCGCCCAGCTGAGCAGAGGGGGATGGTGGGAAAGAGTGGGCGTTTAGAAAAGTGAAGAGTATATTTCTAAGAGACTCAGTGGATCAGCTGACAAGCGGGGTCAAGGGTCATATTTATGCTTGATTCCCGGAGCACGTTACAGTAACATCTGCTTATTAAGGGCCTTCAGGGAGCAGGCCTGGGGACCCAACACTGCTGACCTCCTTCTACAAAAGGGGGCCAGCTAAGAGATTAGGGGACCTTGCTAATGTGTGTTTTGACTTCATGGCTGCCCCCCACTCTCCTGGGCAAGATTTGTCAGCTTCACCCCATTTCTTTTTATAATCTTGCAGAATATTTATATGAGCCCATGGTTAGTAGCAGAACAAAGTTTGAAACTGCCAAAAAGAAAGATTTTGATTGGGAAAAATCTGGGTGAAAGTACATACTGGGAAAGATTGAAGCAGGAGAAGAGGGAATTCTTCATGTGCTAGAATCAAAGCATTTAACAAAAACTTCTCAACATTTTGCATCTTAAATAGAAACAAAACAAAACAAAACAGATCTGATTGTGTGCTGCCACATTCAGTAGGAAACCTCCTAACAGGAGAAATAACTTGACCATTCATGTGCCAGGAAATCATAACTTTTTGTGTCATTTGTATCTCAGATGTTGGTGTCCTGAACTCAAAGGGAGGACAGAACTCATAATCCCACGGCAGTTGAAGACTGAACGTTGATTCAATCTCTTTATTAAACTTATTTGTTTGAATCATTTCTATGCTTTTAAAAAACCTGGTTATATTTTTTCCCTGTTACCAGAGAAGTGGAGTCTTCCCGTGTAAATATCTTCCACCTCTAATTTCTCCAGCTAAATTAATAATGTACAGAAGCATCAAATAATTTCTGCAAAACTGGCTGAAGGAAGAAAAAAAAATGCACCAGGCTGCTAAATTATTATTTTTTCTTCATTTTCAAGAATACTTGCTGTGTGTCTACTGGTTTCTAAAAAGCATGTTTTACAATGGCTGTAATTTCTCACACTTCCTTGTTCCCATTTCCCATGACTTTTGCATGAAAGTTACTGGAAGAACTCATCTGGGTTTTAGAAAATCTCCTAGTGCCACTACAGGCCTTCATTTCAGGAGCATACATAGTTGATGTCTTAACCACTCATGTGACATTTTGTTTTAGACTAAAACCTCCTGTAGAAGAATAAAACACAGGAATGGGGGAGGAGGTTAGAGATAAAGAATATTATTTTTAGCTAGAAAAAAAAAGTTAAAATAAGCAAGTGAGTGATATCACGTACCACAGCCTTCTCTGGTTTCCACATCAGTCCATGGCAAAGTTCACATGGTCCAATGTTCCATGCAATTGTAGGAAAACAGCATGTTTGCTATTTATAGGGTATTGCCTTGGGGAAAGCAGCTCCTCTGAGGAAGAGAATATATCCAGGGATGTGAGTGGATGAGTCTTCTTCAAAGGTAAAGGCTTGGACCCGAGCGTGTGTGTGTGTGTGTGTGTGTGTGTGTTCATGTACGCTTGTGCCTTTGGAGTCCAGGGAGTTGGTGGTGGGTTGGGTGATGAGAGCTGTCCAAAACCACTTTGTGATTATAAATAATAAAAAAATTCAATCGGAAGTGCGTTCTGCCAAACTTCACAATAAACCTCCTAGCAGGACATTGAGATTTTCTTAATCAGGGTCAGACCCACAAGCTTAAGGCCAATGAGTTCAGTGGGAAAAATGACTCTTCTTCCCTTTTTTTTTTCCTTTCCTTTTTTCTTTCATTTGGAAGGGACCCCCTCATAAACATGCAGAGCAATTTTCCAGTACATTAACCCAGGAGGGATCCTCACTCTGTCTGATCACGAGACAGAAAAGTTGAGAAACAGGGTGAGGGGAAGATGGATGGGCCTGGGATATAGGAGAGGGCAGTTTTTCCACTGTCCTGCCCTGTACACCTAGCACAAAGACTTCATTGACTGCAATGCTTGACATCAGCCTCATAAACTAGTAGTCAGCACAAAAGGTCTGACACTTGAAAGTACCAGTCCCTGCCTTCTTTCTATTGCAGCTGTGCACGGGGGCTGGGCCTAACAGTGGTGTCCCTTTGTCAGCCCATAGGACAAGAGGTGAAGATAAATAGTGTTGACTTTAATGTAGTCACACAATTTTGCTATTTCCCCAAAGACAACATTTCCTCCCAGGCCTCACATCCTGGCCCCAGGAGATATAACTACGGTCCCCTTTGCCAGGGAGCAAGGCCAGACTGGGGCTGGGGAAGCTATGCGGGTGCAGAAGGGACATGTGGCTTGAGGGGGTAGAGGAGGGACAAGTACAGAGTCGTGGGATCTGTTCCTTGCCCTCTAGGAGGAGATGGTATGGTTTTCATGCATTCCAGCTTGTGCACAGTGGTTTCTTTCATTTTCTTGAGATCTTTGGAAATGGTCCTAAAGGGGAAAAAAATGAACTCAGGAAGCAAGACTGAAAATGTGTGCAATTGTATGATTTAAAAGATTTAAAAAAAAACAAAAACCTCCACGGTACTTTTGATTATCACAAGACCAGAAAATATAGTGCTTTCCTGAGAATGTTTTGGTAATACGACTTTAAAACAAGCAACATTAAGTAGAAGGTGAGAATTCAAGTGTTTTAGGTGCTAATGGCTGAACCACATCAGCTCTGTGATCCATTGCATGTGACTGTTATTATTATTCATTTGTAGCTGTCTGGGTGTCAGCATAGATAAAACTTTTGTTACTATTTCATTTTATGTCAGAATTTGAAATACAGAACATGGAACTCAAATGGCTTTGATGGGTTATAACCAAGTTGGATTGGCTGAAGAGCATCACCTGCTTGAATGTGAGTCCTCTGACTACAGATTGCCACTTTGGATCTCTCTTCTTACTTTCTGAAGAGGCTTACTGAAAGGTAATATCTGATCTATCCCCAGGCATAAGCATCTGTCTTCCTTTAGGCCTCTCTGTATCCAGAGTAGGTTCTGAGAGTTTAGAGCAAGCACCCAGACCCAAAGAGCTATCCAAAGTGTTTTATGTGCAGAGAGAGGGAAATGTGAAAGCTCAAATACCCTTAGTCCCCTTCCACCCAGGCTGAAGAAACGTCAGAACTGAGACATGAATGCCCGAGGAATGTTCTATTTAAACACCAACACTGAAACTCAGATCAACTACATATCTGCTGATTTTAATATTTAGCTGGGTTTCCTTCCATTCCACTTCAAGTTCACAAGTTTAGAGCCCTCTTCCAGTTATGATCACTCATTGCATTGTTTGACTTTTGAACATATATTTTAGAAATTACTGATTCAGAGTATTTTAAAAATTCCGTTCTATACAACTCTGCTACAATGGCATTCTAGAAAACTTTGCTTGAGGTTAAAATTTGAAGGTATCTTATTTGGTGGGAAAGCATTTAATATTTGATACTTTCTATGAATTTTTCAAGTAAGCATGCCCAGGCTAAAACCAAATAGTTACAAGTTGGGAAACGTGTTTCTTGGAAATATAGTACTGACCAGTTTAACCTTCTCTTTAGAAGGATACTGAGGCCAGTGCATCACCTCATGAACTTAAAGCATTTGTTTTCAGTTTATCATGGTTAGCTTTTGAATGTAATATGATACTAACTTGGACTTATTGGTAAACATATTCAATTTTGAAGAAGGTAATTTTCTTTTGTTTTTACTTTCAGAATCACTGAATTCATTATTTTTAAGATATATTTATATTCATTATACTTAAGTAAAACTTTGATTGTTTCAGAAATTTACCATTCCAATTTTCACATTCCAGATCTGGTTTCTAGGAAGACAGTAGTGTGAACCTAATTATGCCCTTTTGCCTCTGCCTGGCCCACTGCTTCCTTCCTCTTCCTAGGACCACTGGGTCTTTAGTTCCACCATCCTCCGGGCTCTTGAATATATAGCATCATTTGGCAGCTTTCATACATGAAGAGCTGAGGTTATTTTATTTCATTTTAGCAGAGAAAAACAAATAGCGGAAGATGTGCAAACAGCAGCCCCAGTGAGGAGGAGAAGGAAAGAGAGAAGGTAAGGGCTGCATCTATGGAATTTCTCATGAGATGATGAGACATGAGCTACTGGAAAATTTTCTGTGCTTTTCTGTGTCTGTGTCTCTTCTAGTCCATGCTTCTGCAGAGGGCACACAGTAACACAAGTTTTCAGTGCCAGTGAATGTATAAAATAGAGAACACTCTGAGCATGTCTCCTCACAAAAAAAGTGGCTGGACTTGTTTTTCCCTCCTTTATAGTATACCCTCCCTGTGCCCAGCTCAAACAGGAACAAACTTCATGAGTTATCCTGTAAATCCCAAGATTGAGAAAGTCCCTCAATATTTTCTTTTGAAGATCTCCAATATGAGAAGCAATAAGGTAGTCGGGAAATGGGTTGGGTACTGGAAAAACCGGAGTCCTAGTTAGTGTTCTCTTAATAGAGTTTGGGCAAAAATTTACCTGTCTCTGTTTTCTTATTTGTAAAACAGGCAAACTAGATGTATATCTAAGTAAGTATTTTCTCTTGGTCCCCAGCTTCTAATAGTGACCTGGATCATAAGTAATTAAAGAAAACAAACAAGACAGTGCTGTAGAAAACCGGACAGTGAAGAACATAATCTCAGTTAAGGTATTATTGGTACCACATCTAGAAAGGCCAGTGAATCTGATGTGTCTTCATGAACAAGCATTTCCCCTGCTCTATATTTAGAGCTGTGTCATGGAATTGGAATGAATACGCCTTGGAGTTTTCTTAGCTCTACTTGGGGACACATAGTTTTGTAAACTTACTGTTATAAACCAATTTTCCTGGAAGGGACTTCAGCATGTGGATGACCCCGTGGGTATTCAGTTATTGGCTGGTGTCTTTCCTCTGAATCAGAGCTAAAAAATATATTTTAAATAAACACTTGTTTTCTGGCTTGTTGAAGGTCTTACATTTTTTAAAAAAAATATTTCTCTTTGCATAATATGAAACCTGTATATTAGGTCAAATTTGGGTACTTTGATCTATTTGCATGTATACCAATGTAGTCTGTAGACACACACGTGACTCTCGTTGGTTTACTGGGAATTGTATTGAGCTGGCAATGCCTTTCTGTGTCCCTCACTCATTTGCTTCCAAAGATAGAATACTGCTGCAGATTAAAGGATAAGACTATTTTTGATCTCAACACCAAAGAACTCTCTCTGTGCAAAGAAACCAAGTAGACCCAAGGCCATAGTTGTATAATCATAAAAAAGAGTGGCTGAATTGTTTTTGTCCCTCTCCTCACTAATGTGGGCACCAAGATACTTTGCTGAAGGCCTTTGATTACTTATGTACCTTGATGCCAACTTTACAAGGACCAGTTGAATTAGGGAGTTAGTTGTTTCTAGTTCTCTAAGTAGAGATTCAGCCTCACATGATAATAACTCGCAAAAAAGTTCAATTTGACAATCTGTAAATCTTAAATTTAGTTTATCTCAAATTCATGTCCTGGTCCCATTTAGGAAAAATGGGCTTGTTTTCTCTTTTCTTTTCTCATTTGAATTGTTCTTTTCTGTCCAAACCCAAAACCTTAACTCCACCTCTGAATATTATTTTTTTCTTTTAGATGTTAGCAGTAATCTAAACAGGCTGTAATTTTTTTCTCTTATAGTCTGATTTTTATCTTATATCTGTTACCCCAATTAGTAGAGGTTCTCAGATTTTCATACCTAAACAGGGGAGTAACCCTCCAAATGAGTTCCCTTTTCCACTATACCTAACATACACACACACACACACACACACACACACTTTTTGTATAGACCTAATACTACTATTCTTTGATACAGGACTCTTTTCTAGTTACTCTTCAATGACTAATGCCTTAACCTCATTTAAAAAAATATTTTCTAGCTGCAGATGGACACAATACCTGTATTTATTTATTCATTTTTATGTGGTGCGGAGGATTGAACCCAGTGCCTCACACATGTGAGGCAGGCACTCTACCACTGAGCTACAGCCCCAGCCCCCTTAACCTTATTTTTTCACCCAGAATGAGACTCTGATACATTTCAACTCACTTTCATCAGCATGTTTATTTTGAGACCATGAAGAAACCAATAAACACTTTTCCCTTGGATACTAATTTAACCTTTGGCAGTTACTGTATGCTTCATCATTCCTATTTGAGAAAGTATAAAACATTCAGAGAAGTCTTCTAGGAGTTATTAGAATTATTAAAATGATCATATGAGGATGATAAAGCTGCTCAAGAAGTTGAGTATGGAGGTAGATAATAATAATAGTAGTAATAGCAGTAATATTGGTGTAGTTATCAATGATTGTCACTATGTGCCAGAAAATATTCTGTACTTTTTTTTTTCATTGACTTAATTCTACAGCAACACTCTGAGGTTGGTCCTTGGTATCTCACAGATGTGAAAACAGAGGTTTTGACAGGCTCAGTACAAAGAGGTGCATGCTTTAATAAAGTCCCAAAGGATTGCAAAATCCCAGCAGCAGAGATAAGCTATCCAGCTGGAAGAAAGTTGTAAAAAGAAGTCATAAAATAGAGGAAAATGACTGGGGATTTTTCATTTAATTAATTAAAAATGTGACATTGTTCAGTCTTATATAACTATAGTTCTATGAGTTCATGATTGTGTTTTTAACTGGGTGATCAGCTCCTTGAGGATCAATATTAATTCTTTTTGTCTCCTGTATAAGGGCTAACCTAGTGCTTTTCACAAAGTGGAAATACTTTACTTAAAAAATACTTTTTCTTGTTTCGAGCAGTGAGATCCTGTGTTTCAGCTTTTGTGGTTGCTACTGTTCTAGATACATATCTGAAGGTAGTCTGCTTATATGGAAATAGGTTAGTATACACTAATTGTATATATAATATATTTATTTCTGTTTAAGAATGTTTAAACAATCTTAAAAATGGGATGGGAGGAATCTTTGGAAAATAAAAAAAAGAATAGGTTAAGACTCTCCTCCCCATGGACAAAATAGGTTAGTATATACATTTATATGCTAATATAAATGTAAATTATGATATATACCAATATAAAATAAATTATGATATTTTCTGTTTTTAGTTTATCATGAAATATTTTTGGACCTGTCATTCTCTGTTTATTCCAATCATAATTATTTGCTAAGCAGTGTTTGGTTTACAATTGAAAGGATTAGAGCTGGTATAGGTAAGGTGATGTGAGTTGCCAAAGATTTTCACAGAATCATGGTTCTCTGGAGTTCCTCATTTTGGTAAGTGTGTCTTTGTTAGAGTTTCAGTGACTTTCATTGGAAGGATTAAGTAGGATTAAATAAAAAAAACAAAGTGATTATAACAGTCCAATACATCATAGTGCTATGTAAGTCTTAAAAGTCATTGTTGTCATCTTCACCATCATCACCATCAACATCATCTTCACTCATGTCCTTCCATTTCTAGTTGTCAGTAAACATCACTGTTGAAAATGGTTCCTAAACTAACATCAATGTTGCACTTGGTGGTGTGGCCTTAGTAGAGGATTTACAACCTTAGATTTCATACACTTAGTGGATACACTTCATTAATGTACTACTGGTACCATTGTTTCTCATGCATCTTATGTAACATTTTTGAGGGGCAGTATAGTGTCCTCTTCTTGAAGAAAGTATGTGATACTCCCTGCACAAACCTCCTTTTACCTCCAACTCGATCTTATACTATTCAATATCCTTGATTCAAAACTGGATTCTATTTACATGCCATTTAATAAATTCAACTATTTTTTTAAGTTCATATTAAAGTTAGTGAAAATTAATAGTCCTGAAACATTAGAACTAAAATTAAATTTGTGGATGATAAGCAACCATTTTTTACAAATTATTTTATTCTTTAATTTAAATACACCTAACAATTATTTTTTTAAAAAAGAAAGAAGTTATTTGTTATTTAAATAAAAAAAACAAAGTTTAGGTGAAACATTTTGTTAGTTATCCATCTCTTCTTTCCGAGTCAAATGACACATATTTGAACAGGGATAAATGTTCACTTGAATTACAACCATTTAAACAGATTTATCAAGAAAGCTGCATGTGCAGAAATATTTACTTGACTTTATTTTTATGAATTCCTAATATAGCCTTGAGCGCAGACACTTCTCAACACATGATTCTTTTAATTCAAGTTTTCTGTAATTCATATTTTTCTAGTAAAAGTTATTGACTATAATAATAAGAATTTAAAATAAATGGAATATTTACAAAATATTTGTGTGGGTTGATCACACAGGAATCATTCATTTTTAATATTTGATCAATCCCAATATTACTGAGCATATACCCTGAATTTAAATGTTATACTCACACAGCTAAGTTTAAGAAAGGGGAGGGTGGTTTAGGATATAACTCAATGGTAGAGTACTTGCCTAGCATGCGTGAAACTCTCTGTTTGATCCCCAATACTTAAAGAAAAAATGAAGTGACAGTTAACATATTTTCTTTTTTTTTTATTTTCCAAAGATTCCTCCCATCCCATTTTTAAGATAGTTTAAACATTCTTAAACAGATCTCTGAATATTCAAAGAAATACAATGAAAATATTGGGGAGTGTTCTAGTTAGTTAGTTTTTGTTGTTGTTGTTGTTTGCTGCTGTGACCAAAAGACATGACAAGAACAATTTTAGAAGAGGAAATGTTTATTTGGGGGCTCACAGTTTCAGAGGTTTTTTTTTTTTTTTTCCATAGATGACCAACTCCATTGCCCTGGGCCAGATATGAGGAAGAACATCGTGATAGAAGGGCATGACAGAGGAAAGCACCTCAGGACATGGCACCAGGAAGCAGAGACAGAGAAAGAGAGAGAGAGAGAGAGAGAGAGACTCTCCTCCCAATGGACAAAATACATACCCCAATGACACATCCCAAATCACCCACCTCCTCTAGCCACACCATATATGCCTACATTTACAACCCAGTTAATCTGTATCAGTGGATTAATACATTGATTAGGTTAAGGCTCTTATTTCATCTCTAAACCCCCTTGCAGGGTCTCACACATGAACTTTGGGTGGACACTTCATATCTAAACCATAACAGGGAGGCAACATGTTTTCCTAGTCCTTCATTTATTATAAACTTTAATTCGTAGTCAGGAAAAAGTGGAAGAATAATATTTTGGAATAAAGTTGAAATAATTTAATACTTTTCATTTTTAAATGTATTGTGCTTACTTCTCTCATATTGCTACTAATTAAAGTGTAAGAATCTCAGAAACAGAGAAGCATTCCCATAGTACTTTCTTGAACAACAGTGTCACTGAAACACAAAGGAATGGTAAGGTAATTTTGATGAAAATTTCTGATTGTGTGCTACATATAGTTCTGAAAAATGTTTATAATTTTAATAAATAATAGTATCAAGTTACTTCGTGGATTAATTGATATAATAGACCCACTGGTTACTTATATTTTAATTGATACATGATCTAAGCAAATCATAATGGAAGTCTATAGCAATAAGAACAGAGTTTCACAAAAATACATATTCAACAACAGGTTTAAAAGTGTTCAGAGTAACTTAACATTCAATTTTGTTTCTCTTTCTTTCTTTCTTTCTTTTTTTTGGTTTGTTTGTTTAAACTATATATTTTATTAATTATTCAAGAAATTATAAATATAAATTTTAAAATGTGAAAGGATGACATGCAGATCACTTTCTTCTGATAAAACCACTCAAAGGTAACCATGGTTAACATTATGCTTTAATTCTGTGTAAATGGTGTGTAGAGGCAACATGAAAAATATTAACAATCAGTTCCTCATAGTATTGACCAATGGAAAGCATTGCCAATTGTAAAGTCCATCTGTATGAAGCATGTTTTGTTGAATATCATCTCTGTTGTGTTTGTTTATACATACACATACACACACACACACACACACATATATATATATGTATATCCATAAATGATAAATTTTTGCATCAGCTATAATGCATATACACATAGTACATGATCTTATAAAGTTGTACATTTTGTATAGAATAATTATAATTTGGATAGTGAGACTATTCTAACAATTGTTTATTTCTAATTAATCTGCAAACACAGAATAATTGCTAGGCAAATTAGAAATGCAAATTAAATTGGTGGGGGGAGGAGGAATTTTTTTAAACTACTTTATAATAAACACCTTCAGAACACCTGTTTATTAACTATGCAAAGTTTGCATCATTCTTAGCTAGACCATAGTGAAGGTAAGAGAATTTTTCTGGGGAATATCTTCTTATTACTGAAAGGGTTACAATATAGAACTTTACACTATTTATTTGGTTTTTAAACTATTTATTTGCATTTTTTTACCAGTTCATTTGTTTTTCAAGCACCATCCCCAAGCAGTTAGCCCTAAGAAATATAAATTCTATTAAAATTTCATTTGACTACCTACATTTTTTGTTTGCAAGCAAATTGAGCATATATAGAATGAATTTAATAAACTTTTTCTTTAAGAAGAAAAATTGTGTACTGGAAACATTACATTTGGATCAGTATCAAGGATCAGTGGATGTTTTAGAGTTTCTATAATGAATCAAGTTCACCAAGAAGTTCACACAGAAGTTCACGGATCAAGACATTCTCCCCTAAACAAGTAATCAGTAAATTGTAAATCCTTATGAGGGTCTTGAAATATTTTTGAGACATTAGGGGAAAAAAGAAAGGAGCTCTGTCAGAGGGTTAATCTTGGGAAGCCAGAATAGATTCATATAAGAACTCCATGGGTTCATGCCAGAGGTTGCCTCTGGTTCTGGAGTAAGCAGTGGGCTCGACTTATTCTGAAGGAGGGTTCCTTTGTTATTACCTACACATCTCCACTCATTGGTTCTTGGCAAAGTACATTAACCTGAGAAGTCACTGAAATACCAATGCCTAGAAAGGAACCGACTGAAAATTAGGTTTCAACACAAACATGCACTCCATCAGATGTGGTAATGCACGGAGCGCATTACAGGCTCACTTTGCCTCTTATGTGACATGAAAGTGCTCTAAGAACACACAGTTTTACATTCATTCACATTCCCAAATGTCCTGCAGTGGGGAACTCACTCCCTCAAAGAAGAGCGATTTCTATCCTCATTTGTGTTTGAAACATGAAAACAACATAACAGCTGCATGCTGCATTGAATAAAGAAGATACACATGCATTTAAATCACTTATATCTTACTTTTTTATGATGCAATTGTGAATTATGTTCTTTTTGCATCTGTAATTAGAGGGCAGAACAGATGGTGAAGGCTTCGTTTAAAGTGATGTGTCCATTAAAATAACCTATGCTGCCAAATGATTGTTCACTATAACAGGGTATTCATTCACGATGGCTGGCACTTTGCTGTACTGAAATATGTTGCAAAGGCCCCTGGACTATACATGACGCTTATTATTTTTAAGGGCTTTCCAATAAAAGGGTTCACTGTAGCACAGCTAGCTTTGTACCTCATTTATCTTCTGAGCATATGTTTTACTATATTGTTCTAATTAAAAAGTGACCTTGTGTATAATGATCAGAACTCCATGCTGAAAATGATTCATATAGGAGCTGGGGATGTGAGAAGACAGTCCACACCACATTAAATAGAGCAGTGAGATGGGAGTGGGGCCAGGGACTCGTGGGATTGCAAACCTTTTCCTGAGATTATAAATGCAAAGAGTTTAGAAGATTCTGTTCATCTCTGCGATACATTAGCCTCTGACTACATGTTATTTGAGGAGAATTTTGAGACAAACAAAAATAAAAGCAACAAATACAAAAGGGTAAAGGTCATCATCAAGTTTCTTTCAAATCGCTCATAAAATTTAGCTATTTCACATTTGGCGGAAGTACACTAAATTCTGTGTTGTTCAAAGTCATCAAAGATGTATTTTTTTGTTTTGCTTTGCTTGGTCAGGATATATGCCAAATATATATATTTTTTTCATTTTCACATATCAGATTCTGTCAGCTATGATCGTAAATATTCTTCAACTTGCATTTTAATCACCTTCTAACAACAGAGAACTTTCAAATGTCATTTCATAGAGGACCCAGAACTCTGCTAAATGATTATTATATTTCCACCCTCTGAAGGAGAAAACAGTGTGAGAAATCATGAGTAGTCTTAGTCATCCAGATGGTAGAAGTACTTCATACACCATGAAAACAATAGAAGAAAACATAAGTGATTTTTTCAGTTGTAATTTCTGGAGAAAATATTTTGTTAACCAAAATTGATGGGAAAAAAGTATAAAAGCACATGTTAAAAATTCCATAAGCAAAATTAAAATGCAAACACTTAAGGTGAAAAAAATGTATAACTGATATGAAAACTTTCATAACTTTAATATGTTAATGTCTTTAACATGCTGTCTTTAATGTGTAAAGAACACATAAAAATCATTAAGAAAAGTACTAAAACTCCCACCAGATTGGCAAGACAAAAGCAGTTTGTATACAGAGAGAAATGCAAAGAACTATAATAATAAATGCATTTAACTTTGTAATCAAATTATTTTCAAATAAACAACTAACATAATGTCTCCAACTAAAACTTTAGGAATTATTTTCAAACTATTCATATTCATTTCTGATGAAGAAGCAGTAAGAATAACTTGTGGTAAAGGAAATTTGTTGAAACTACCTGTCTGAAAAATGTTTGAACAATTTGTATCAAAAATATTGCACATTTTTGGAATTTTTATCTATTAATTCTACTTTACAAGTCACTCTAAGGAATCAAGCAGAAATATAGATAAAACTGTGCATTTAATAATAATGTTATTTATTGAATCACAAAAACCTTGAAAAACCCCTAAGTGCTAACATTTGGTTAATAGGTTGGTCAATTTTAGTATTTGTGGCCAAATGTGACTCTGTAAACCTGTAATCCAAGAGACTTGGGTCACAGATGCAAGAGGTTCGTAAATTCAAGGCCAGCCTGGGCAATTTAGTGAGACCCTATCTCAAAATAAAATAAAAAGGGGTAGGGATGTAGCTCAATGGAAGAGTGCCCCTGGGTTCAATCCCCAGTATTGAATTATTTTTTAAATATTCATGTATAATGCCCAAATATTTCAGCACTAAAATAATGTTAAGACTTGAGCTCTGTCCATAAGAAAGAAATCTTGTATGTGATCAACTTTACATTCTGAAATTGGTGACAAAAATTCATTTCTGGAAAACTGAATTCCATCCATCTCAGCTAACCTTCTCTTAAATTTGGGTTAATCAATGGGAGATTCTCATACTCTGGCAGGTTTTCTACACCAGCCTTTCCAGAAGTAGTTAATGATCTGTAAACAACCATTTAAAGGCACCAGGGGAGTTTAACATTTAGAAGAATTCTGTAGGGAATTCTTTGTAAAAGGAAAAGTTTGGGATAATACAAATATTCAACCCTAAACATTTTCTAATTTGTTTTTAATTTTATTTTAAAGTCCTTTGGATAGAGCTGCCAGTCATGAGAATGTTTTTATTTCTGGAAAAAAAATCATTCCCATTTTTCCATAGCAATTGTTTTTCCACTTTCTTCAGTAAGATTTAATTTGTCTTTGTAGTGAGAGGATGCACTGTGGGCATAGAAGAATTTGAACAACAGTGGCTTGGTCTTCAGATTCTTTGCACTACAATTTATGGAATTCCATAGATGTCCTTCCAATCTTTTTATGGTGTGGCTGACTGGCTGACCTGGTTTGGAGCTTGGAGGTGTAGTAGCAAGCACAGTTCAATTAAGGAGGTTTGCCTGGGTCTTGCGTTCTTTGGGGAAGAATGTAGAAATACCCAAGGGCTCTACTCTACCAAGTAGATGCTGTGGAAAATCACAGCTTTCCCCGATGTTAGAAGTGAGGAGCAGGGCAAGAATTCCACACTGAGACTTCCTGCTAATTAAAAAATCATCTCCCAGAGTTCCAAAAGGTCCCAAAGTCAAACTAAGACTATAAACACTACTGGGTTCACAGAAAAATCATGAGGGTTAAAGAGATGGTGATATTGAAATGACTCTCAATCTTATTCAGAGAAATTGATGACTTAATGTTTGATGGTTTTTGATCTCTTATCAACCTATCCTGGACAGGCACGAGGCTTCATTCATCTTTTTCTTTTCTTTTTTCCCCAGAGCTTAGTCCAGACAGCAGACAAATGATCACATATTTTTGTTTTATAAACTGGTGTTTTCTCCCTTTTCACTGGACTACACATAAGTATCTGCCAGTAGTTTCTGAGTGGAGTGTTATTATATTTTTAAACTCTTTGGAGGACTCTCATATATTCCAAGGATCAATAACTCTGCCAGTGTTTATGCTATTTTTATTTATCAGACTCTCCTCCATCATCATTACGTATATCACACAAAGCACTGGACAAATTTTAAAGATGTTTACCTGTTCATTAGGGTCTTAGAATCTAGTTCCTTCGTGACATGATGTGGTTAATTAGTAATGAAGAGATTAATTATTTGGTATTCAAAGACCCATTCTTTTTACAAATTGTAAAAGTATTCCAGACATATTCTTTATTGATTTCAAATGGAACCAGGACATAAAAAAAGAATATGGAACTCATGCAGAATAAAAACTAGCTGTACAAATACTGAAATGTGGTTGCCAACTGTATCAGAAAAAAATGTTTTTTTTATTGTGAAAACTCAATTTTAAAATATCAATATTTTATGCTTTAATTTTTGATCTCTGCCCAAGCTATTTGTCAATGTTTGAAGGCTCCTCCACAACCACAGCCTGTATGCTGTTGCACTGTGAAGTGGGTCTTTGGTGATCATTCTTTTTCACTGAAGGCCTCTGTCTTCCAGGCGAAGACTTTGTTTGTACTCCCCAAAGGTTCCATCTATAGTAATTGTGTTACCCTACCTGCCAGTGGCCATTTCTCAATTATTCCAACTCAAGTATTTGTGGTTTCCTGGAGGAGCATGTTTCCCATTTCTTCCCATACACAGATGTTTGTTTAACAAATGCCTGTGGTTTATTTCCTCTGCCCCAGAATATTAAGGGGCCATAGATCAGAGCAGAAAATGATAATTCAAAGCTTGGGCCTGGCATTGTTTGAAGAATTTGTCAAGTCTGGAGAGATGCTTTAGAATTCAGTAGCTTTTTCAAGGGATTCCTTTGGACTATGCAGGGTTACAATTCATTTAAGATCACTCCAGGAAGCTTTGCAGATTTACCTATCTGGCCACCCAGGTAAGCTCTGTGCATGCACTTGTATATGCATGTGTGTGCACACACGAATTCTGAGACCTTGAGCATTGTTAATTCTGATTGTAAGTATAGGTGATGACTGACATGTTTTCACAGAGGACAGTGTTCAAGTCTTGAAGAGACCTGTTGGGATAAACACATTCACAATAATAGCATAGGGACAGGACAAAAGCAACATCATTGTGAAAACGCCTTCAACCTGAAACATTCTGATGGAACTATGCAGGAACAATGGACACAAACTGCCTAATGTGGTATGTAAAGATAGCAATAACCCTTAATGGCAACTGTAAAATGAAGCATTATGTTAGCCAGCAGAAAGGAAAATGCAAATTGATTCTCTTTTTGTTTAGATGTAAGTGCTTATCAAGGTTAGTAGGTATTCAAGGTCTGCGACACGAGAATAATTTGTTTTATTATAATACATGTAAAAGGAGAGTGCTTGGGGCTTTCTGAGTGACTCAGATGGCCAGATAAAATTCTACAGTCCAAGCTTTAACAATCTCATCTCAGCATATCTCATACTCTATCTGATGGGAAGAAAGTAGATTCAGAACTGAAACCCTTTCAAAAATGGGATGGGAGAATTAATTGTTATCAAGGGTGATAGCTGGTAATATTTCATTCCTTTGTGAGATTATAGCATTGAAACCTGCATTTGGACTTGTACCGTTTTACAGGTACCCATTAGGCAAAGCATTCTAGTTTTGTATCACGGCACCAGCAAGATGTTTACTCTTAACTGTCCCCAAACACTGTGACTCAGTGGGCAGTAGAGATCAGTGAACATGTGAATCCACTTGACTGGAGAATAGCCATTCCCAGCTCTACCTCTACGTCTCTATCTCCACTAAAACTAAAGCCTATAGAATCCTTTTTTTTTTCTTTTTCACTCTGTCACCACCATAGACTAACACTTAATCTACAGATGCTGACACCTAGTGACACCTATTTTTGGATGAGCAGTTGTTGGCAACACTTTTATGCATCTATACTCAAATGGTGGCTCAGAAAGGCAAAAGGCAGGAGGGCAGAAGGAATTGAACTGATGGGCAAACCATTTCATTTGAAATTCTGAAAGTTTCTGAATATCATCTCCAGCTATGACTCCTCTCTAATGAAGAGGCTAATTTATGGAGATGTTGGCAAAGGTAAATATGGCTCCTCAGAATTTTCCTTACGCTGTTAGTGGGATGCCAAATGCAAAGTGATTATTGGCACAATAATGAAACAAAAAAAAGCAACCTCCATAAAACAGCATGGATCTCTCTAATTCTTTAGTAAGATCTCTCTAGCTCTTCTTCTGGTTGGTTACTGAGTGGTATAATCTTTACAGTAAACTGGACCTTTTATTTGGTGTTGAATGGTGTAAATAACTAACTAGTCAGTTATGATTCTGGAGATTGTATAGATGTAATACCAAAAACATGCAAGATATAATCACTTTCCTCAGGGAATTTAAAATAAAATTTTCAACTGGATGTTTGCTGGCTTCTCATGCTATTGCTCTCAAAATAAACAGAAACTTTTTTTTTTTAATTCTTAGGAATACATCACTATCTTTCAAGGGAAAATCACCAAGAAGATTTATAATAATTAAAACTAATAAAATATAAAAATAGAACAAACTCTTGTTGGTTTCTTTGATTTGGAATCAACAGAAAATAACTTGAGCTAGCTTAAGCAAAAAAGGCTGTTTATTGGAAAGATACTGATGTTTTCACGGAAGAAATGGATTAAATGGCCTTAGAAAGCATGGAAACTTTTCAGTCCTGGGATGTCAAAGAACAGTTGATTCTATCTCTTCCCTCTTGAAATACATCATGAGTTGATTTAGCTCCCAGCAATTCTCTTGTTAAAGTGAAGAAGTTAATGTAAGAGAAAGCCTAATAGTTCCAACTTGGTGAGGTAGTTTAATAATCCTTTGGCCAGAGGAGCAGAGGGTAAAATTCATATATGGCCACAGCTAAATATCTTTCCCTGGAGAGGGGAAGATAACTCTCCAAGATGAGAATAGTGTGAGTTGGCTAGACAGCCCAAAATATGTGACATATAATCATGATTTAATAAAAGTTCTCATTTTTTGAAAACACTGATCCTATTTCAGAGAAACAAATGTTGTCTGAACACGTCAGGATGATATAGTCAATGGTAATTGAACATTAGTGATTTGGAGCAGTGCAGCAGAGTTTAGTCCATGATTGTATGTGTTCATGCTCATTACTTTGTCCTTGTCAATCTTATTTTTATTTCCTCACTTTGCTGGTCAGGCTACTAATTCTCCCACATATGGCCCAAATGAGTCAACCAGAATCTCATGATCAAGTGACATCATGGGTTCAGAAAAGGAAGCAATTTTGACCCTAGCATAAAATCCAAATGCCATAGCATGGCACACAGGTCTTTCAAAGTCTGTTCTTCCTTCCTTTCTCATTTGGCCTCCCTTCCTATACCACCCTATTCCCTTGATATGAAGGGTAGGGCAATTTCCAATCACATGGAGACTTTCTTATAGCTCTTTGAACACGTGACATGTTTTCTGTGCCATTGAATCTTTTCTTCTACCATTTCTCTTAATCTATAATACCACTGATTTCCTCCACCTGGAAAACTCCTATTGACCCTTTAGAGTATTCAGTAAGGTTCAAATATCACCTTTTTGATGAAGGCCACATATGTCAAGTGCTTGTCTCATAGTGTCTCTCTGGTCCTCAGAACATGTGCTCCCAAAGACAGAGTGTGCTTCTTCTTCACCTCTGTATCCTCCACATCTTGCCCACTTGTGGCATGAGAAATGTTTTGTGAAAGGATGAATCAGACAATGCAAATGTGCATGTGATCTGGAAACTTCCAAAAACCTCTTCCTGCTGCTTCCCAGAGCCTTGCAGCTGTCACCTGGACCTTCTTCCTACAACCTATAGGTGGCAATGGGAAGTTTCTCTCTGATGCTTTGCTTTTCTTCAGATCTGATGGCAATGACAGATCATTCAGAAGCATGCTGTGCTTGAAATGAAACCAACACAGCAACAGTGTTATGTACACTTCTGTCCCTATCGATCTTGACAGAATTTTTATATTGGGATTTTATGACAAAAGGCTTCATATCCCATCACACTTTCCTTGAGCCATCCAATCCCAGGGGAATATTAGTATACAATTGCACAAAAAGCCAAGAAAACCTGCCATAGACTGTTGTTTTCCAATGTAGGCAGTTTCCCATTGTTCTTTTTATTGGCTACATAGACCCATGCGCTTGGGAGTGTGAAATATATACAATATGTACATTCTGTGCATTCACATATTTTGCAGAAATTATACAAGTATATGTATGAACATAGCAACCTATGGTGATAAATCACATAACACAAAAAGAAAAGGAAGGAAAGGCAAAGAAAACTCTCACCATTTTGACTGTTTTAGAGTGAACCATCATTTGCCTGTCAAAAGAGGCACAGAATTCTGAATGAATTGAGATATGAAGCTTTCTAAATTTTTCCTATCTTTCTTTTTTGGCATTGTGTCCATTTTTTTTTTTTTTAATTTGTTCACCAACCATCAAGGCCAGTGTGCTAATTTGCCTAATTTGGAATTAGAGAGAAATGTGGGTTGGTTTTGAACTTCTCTCTGAGTACAGGGGAAGAGCCATCTGTTAGAATTAACTGGGTGTGTAAATCCCTTTTGACTCATCTTCTCTGACAGCAGGGTGGAAGAGTAACTGGTCGACCACAACGTTCTCTTGATTCCCAGTAAGAAATATACTTTTCCTCTGAGAAGTCCATCAATTAATATTAACAAGGAGAAAGAGAAGGAATAACTTAGCAGGAAGCTTTGACTCTTCCCCGGATTCGATTCAAGAGATCATCAAGGAAGGAGTCTGACTGTAACATATCCCTCTCTTCCTCTGATGAGAGTGACAACCGGGGTGACTGGAACCAGAGGGCAGCCTACTCTCCTTTGGCAAACAAACACCCACTCTGGTAAGTGCCTTTTAAAGTGCATCAAGTTTTTGTCTAGGAAAAGGATGCACAGTTGGCAAGTACAGAGCTGTAAGGGGATAGCTTTGACATGCTGATAAAGCTTCTCAGTTTACTTTGGACTTGACTTTATCATTTACTGAAGGATATTATTAGTGTGGAGATGATAGCCATTCTCGGACTTCTCAAACGAAAGCCAGGGAAATGTATATGAACTAAAGGTCTGTTATGGAGAATCCGACCCTGTTTGTTCAGTGACTTTGGGATCCTAATCGTACAATTTAACGGAGATAAGGCCTGTAGCAGAGGGAAAGAGCCCACCCACTTTGGAGCCCCTGAGGAAGACGAGTGAAAGTTAGTCATGCTAAAAATGGAAGTTCATCCAGGGCTGAGCATGTATGTAATATTTTTTTCCCTCATTGCAAATTTATATAAAAATAGATTTGTTCTTAGAGCCAGATGGCGTGCAGTACTTCTGAAGTTAAATCCAGCCTTATGACAATGGTCATGGACAATAAGGAACTACTTGGACTGGGATGCCAAATATTCAGCTCTTGGTGAGTCCCTTCCATCAAGCAGGGATGTCTGAACCTCCTTGAGTGAAAACACCCACACAGGCCCCTTGACAACATGTGGATCTAGCTAGAGGCACTTTTTTGACTCTTGTTTTAGGTGGGATCTCTTTGGTTATATTTTTATGTTTAGTTTTCATCTGCTTTATCTTTTCCAGAAAAAAAAATAACAATGATTAAGAACACATAAATAAAAACCTTGGCATGGATCATCAATTAGCTGGTTGCTTTGCAACATGATTTTACTGCTCATCTTATGATGGTTTCATTGATTAACTGATTGATTGATTGATGTACCCATTCATTCAGCAGAGCCTACAATGGTATACACACAAGATCCTAGGATCCTGAGTGAAAAGATGCACATTGGGCTTGTCAAAACACGACTTATAAAAGCTGTGTCTCCTTGGTAAACCCTTTACAATTTTCTCAGTTTTAGCTACTACATCTTATATAGAAAATAATAAGAGTAATTGTGCCTAAAATATCACTTGTAAAAAGATTTATAAACTATAAAACACCATGCAAATACTTCTTTAATTCTCAGAGTCTAAAGCTACAACTGGGCTGTTGTATAATTTAAGTGAATAAGCATATTCTAACATCCATGCTGGGCTCAGAACTATGTGAATTTTATAGATAAAAGTCTAATCTTATAGAGATTCCTTACTTAAGAAAGACTAAAATCTAGAAGAAAATAAGTTGGGCTAAGAGAAGGTAAAAATTTAGTCACTGAGTTTTCCTAAAATTTTCAGTTATTAGTAATTTATTTGTGGTCCTTCTTCAAGATCCTGAGCCCTGATGCTGCAGAACCTGTGGATGAATATACACCAGTTAATTTAAGGTATTACACAAAAACCTCTTTAAACATAAGGACATTTCTCTTTTATTTGACATAATATTCTGCTTGCTAAATAATTTTACAATTTCATGATAGTTAAGAAATTTAATGGCCACTGAATCCAGGCTTCTTTCCCTTGTATTTTTCAGAAATCAAAGTGGAATGCTAATTGAAAAATATTAATTTTTATTGTTCAGAGAAAATATTTAATTGTATAAGTAAAATATCCAAACATAGGCTTTTGAAAAGAGAGAGAGAGAGAGAGAGAGAGAGAGAGAGAGAGAGAGAGAGAGGTATTTAAGTCTGGGCTATTCTGTTTAACAGAGAGTAACTAAAATTTTTGTAATTCAGTTTCCTTGTATGTAGAATAATGCCCCATTTTAAAGGTTAAAAATGTTTTGAGGACTATTGTTTATTGACCACAGGATGGGTTTCCAGAACAAAGATCATCAAATACAATGGCTTGAACAAATGTAAGTTTCTTGTTTCCTCACATAGCCTGGGTGGTGGTTCACATTTACTCAGTGGTGTGGAGACCCAGTGATGATCCATTGTAGATTATAATAATGCACTTTAGTAAATTCTAACAGGACATGTGATCCAAACAGATAAGAAGGGTCAAGGGCCTCAGGGAGACCCAGGATTTCTGTTCATTTTGCTGCCATCAGGATCTTCAGAGAAACAATCACCTACGTACAGTCTTGGACAACATCTTGTGGCCTGGCATACCTCAGCACTCATCTCTCTGAGCACCAATAACATTTTCCTTTTAACACTCATAATTTGAATGATCACATGTTAGTGTTTTTGTTTGTTTGTTTTCCTACTGGTGTATGCTCTGCAAAATGGGAAGAGGTAGCTTATTGGGAAAATCAGGCTTAAAGTTTTAGGAACCTTGTGGTGTGTATGTATGTGTAATGTGAGTGTGTATGTATGTAAGCATATATGTGTGTGTGTATGCAAGCATTCTGTGTGGTGTGATTATGTGTGAAGTGATTCATTCAACTAGGCAGAAGGCAGCAGTTATATGGGAGGCCTATTAAACATATCAGAGCCTGCTGGAGGATTGTCAAAGGGTGTCTTTAGTTGGGTGTGATTTTCTGAACCACGGTTGCCACTGCCCTCTGAGAGTATCCATCATCAACTCAGGGTCCATCAGGTTGCATTGGAGGGCTCCCATTTCCCCCGGAGGCCATGGGACTTCCCGGCTCTGAATAGGTATTACAGATGGTGCTGCAGGTAAGTGTCAGATGGGGAAGCAGCATGAGTCCTTGTCACCTCTCCTTTCCCAGAAGCTACTTCCTCGAGTCTCTCCACACTGCCAGCAGAGGCTCAGGTGCCTGGCTCTCTGCCCTGCTCCTGAAGTTCTCTTTGACATTGTCACTTATGCACCCTGCCTTGTGCAGGGTGATCACTAGTCTCATTCTGTCTGGGGTTTAAACCTCTTTTCAAAGCATACTTATTGATAGCACTCAAAACCTGTCCCAGTTTAGATGGAAAATTGTTTGGGCAAATTAAAATATGGTATGTTTAAACCTGAATGTTAAATGCCTTCTTTCTACACTCTTCAAAGAGCTCCTATGTAAAGCATATTTGGAGAGACATCAACAGTCTCAACTGAGGGCACAGTAGGAATATATTTGAGGTATGAATATGGGGTCATCTCCATAGAGGTGACAACAGTATTTGAGGTGGTGAATGGATGAGAGGATCTGATCCAACCTCTTGTTCAGGAAAGATAATGAGGAACTCATGACCCCTACATTTGTTTTGAACTTGGTATTTTTCTTACAACAGGTCCGTTTATTATATCAACTGATGTTCTAACACTACTATGGGGTAGGCACTACCTGTGATATTATCCCTGCCTTAACTTTGATTAAAAAAACCCTGAGTAATGCTAAATTGCTAAGCACATTTTAATAGTCAAAGGCAGAAACCGAATCCAAATGCAAATTCATCAGACTTAAATTCAAATTGTCTCCCACCTGTAGTGCACAAGCAGAATGTAGCCAATGATTCACTTGTTCAGTTTGTTAATGGTTTGAAAACACTGATCCATATTGCCTGTGTGATAATTGATGTTACCAGTGACAGACTTAAATGGCTGGGTCCTATTGAACCAGGTTTGTATCCAGCTTCTCCCATTTCCTGGAATCATGCATAGCTCTATCACTTAGATTTTGTGTGTAAGGAGAATCATCCCTACTTCAGTGGTCTGGTTGTATTAAGTTATATTGTGTAATGTGCCTTAGGTGTCTTGTGCAGGTGACACCAAACAGATGATTTCTTCTTTAAAGTAGGTGTAAAATGCTTATGTGTTTAGTACATCTTTAAATTTGAGTTGTGATTTGTAGAATAGATAAAAGAAATGTGAGCAATTTCACAATTGTGGGGGGGGGGCAGTGAAGCCCCTCATAACCTTAGATATGCAGTTAAACCAGAAGCTGAATTTCCAAGAAGATAATAATCCATGGGTTCCATCTCTGCTTCTTACAAACACTGAAAAATCTGAAATTCTCCACCACTGGAAAGAAATTTAATATTTAAAGGTAATTTGACCTGTACATGTGTGTACCATGAATATTTGATGAAACCTATAGCAAAAGTATTTATATAGCATTAATCTGGGGATATTTATTTCTTATTCGTTTTCTAGGATATTATTTCTTCAGCAAATGCAAAATTGCCCTCCGTAAAAGTGCTCAGCTCTCAAGGTGCGCTTAGAAATTGTAGAGTAGAAATATTCCTTTCCCTATGACAAATGTCGACACTACATATCCCACCAGAAAGAAGAAACAATTGTAAAAGGGTAAGAGCATCCCAAATTATGACCCCACGTTCTTGGCATAGGGCTAGATCATCACCCTTTCACAAGTACCACTCTTTAACTCTTCATTCCATTTCATATAAGTGCTCAGAAATATCAACAGATCAACAGCAGAGTCTGTCTCAATCCTTTTCCTTTGGTGTCATTTGTTTCACTTCTTTGTGATGTTTGAATTTGCTAGTGCTTTGAATTCAACGGTATTCATTGATTCAGTTTAGTTGGTAGTTAGTATAATGTCTAATCAGAGATTTTTTTTAAAAAATTGTTTTTAAATTGGCTTGTATATACACCTAGATTGGAGGTGCTTTTCTTTATTGTCGCTTCAATGCTAAGCAAAAATGAACATCAACAATCAATGTAACAAAAACAACACTTTGTCCAAATGTAATTTAGTGTTTTTTAAATGTTTTTACCAGATCTATTGTTGCAGATTTGAAGAAAAAATAATAAGGGTTGTCTCATCATATTTTATAACTTTAAGATTTCAACATATTTGAGAGAGGAAAAAAAGTTACAGAAAAATAAGTGTCAACTCCTTTCTCACCCTGAGTGAGTACAAAGAGTTGCCTATTTCACCAGGTGTACCATGCAGAGCTGTTTCTGGGCATGCTCACACTGGCCAAGTAAGTCACCACCAGAAACCTGTTTGTGTTTTGAGTCATTTCCATTTGATCCTGCTCTTTAAAATGTTATTCAAGTCAGGAAAACATAATCAATACTTATAATCAGCATACTCTTTTAAAATGTCATTAGCCAGATATCATGTTTTACTATCTAGTGGAGGAAAAATAAAACTTAAGATAGAAATATAAGGTACTGAACTACTTAAAAGCAAAGAATCCAAAAGGAAATGTTCCATAGGCTACATGTCTAAGAAGTATATCCCAGAAAAATTGATAATGTGTTTATTCTAGAAGAAAGGTTTCTAGGTTAACACAGAAGTCTGTCTCACATGTGACTTTGTTAAAATAGTCACCAAGTTATGCTTTGACTTTTTTTTTTTTTGACAGTGATGATCCAAGAGGTCTTAACCAGCCAGAATGGGGAAGTGTCGACTGCTGTTTAAGGTGTTTGCTTGCCACCCTGTTTATATCTACTTATAAACTCTTGTCCCTTCAGATAAAGCCCCCTTTCCTTATACATTGGGGACAGGTAGAGTGCTGTATGTGGCTGCTTGCCATATCAGTTAGTATGACCCTCGTCCTTGAGCTCCCGTGGAAAACTGGGTCTGAGCCAAAGGACAATAGTCAATTCTTGTGGCTGATTTTGGATTAACTTTCTGTTGCCAGAAATGGCACTAAAACAATAGTGACCCAGCAGACACAATACACAAATACACAATGGAAACAAAATTTCAAAATATTAATCTTTATTACACATGATTACATGATGATAGTTTCTGTTCTAGATTACCATTATTTATTAAAAACATGTGGTCACAACTCAAGAAACTGATTTCTCAGTCCACATGTGTCATGACCCACAGTGGAAGAAGCATTGGCTAAACACATATTGGACTAGTGGGTATGTTTTGAACCTCATAGATTTTTATAATTTATTTTTTACAAAGGTCATGTGTACCCTTTCCCAACTGTCTCTCCTTTAGTGATCTCTTCTTTGTACAGTCTTTCAGTTTTAGTGCATAACAGAAATTTGCAACACACTGAGAGTATTTTTGGAGAGGAAGTTCTAACTGGTGAGGGGACATAGAGAATTGTAAATATGAATAAGATTGCCAGATAATATACAGGACATCCAGTAAGGTTTGAGTTTCAGACAAATAATGAATATTTTTAGTATAATTTTTGTCCCAAGTAGTACATGGATATCTTATATTTAAAAAGTTCTTTGTTGCTTATTTGGAATTAAAATTTACCTGAGCATCCTGTTTTTTTATTTGCTAAGCATAATATCTCTAAAGCCAAAAAAGCCATGATGTCCATTTGCAGTCAGTTTATTGATCGGAATATTCCTTTGTCACTTACAAAATGTGAGAATTGACTTGATTTGCATGAAAATTCCATGTAGGTATACTTTTCTATGATTTAATGTATAGAATTTGGAATATACATTATTAATAATTTCTAGATGTTAAGTGAATAATACTGAAGAAAACAAATTTTATATTTATATCTCAATTAAATCATGCAGCATACATTTAACTATGAAAAAATAAAATAAGTTTTTTAAAGAGAAACTAATATATTGGTCTATTTTGCTCACTGCTTCTCTCAACACATATGTGCCATCCACTAAGTCCTTATTCCTGTTGGCTTCTCAACATAGGTGAATTTTGCTGGCTGTAGCAACCATGGACTGTGACATTGAGATCTTTCTTCCAGAAAGAACTTAACATTCAAATTCAATGAGTGCAGTCAGGTAAGAATCTGCAGTTAACATCACCTTCAAGATCCACTGCTGCTTTTGAGCTGGTCCATATTCCTCCTAGACAGTCTTATCCAATGCCCGATTATGGTGAAAAGTGCTAAGGTCTGGTGTTTTCTTCCCAACGCTGGACCTTCTAATGGGAAATTTTCTTGCTGTAGCTCACTGTTAGTTAGGTTACACTTTGCCAGATTTACGTCTCAGCGGATGTCTCTCCCTGCCAGATTCTTCCTTTTTCCTCTTTATTCTTCACAAACATTAGCTTACAATAAACCTCATGAATCTTGAAGAGTTTGACCCCTACCAAGTCCTCAGAGCATGAAAAGGTAGCTTGCCTCTTCCCTAGCAGGCACCTGATCATTCCCACTGCAAGAGGAGATATTGCAGAGTTTTTTCCACTTCTGAAATGTAGTGGTGTCTATCTCAGGAGGTGTTCCAACCTCTTTCCTTGGATGCCAAGCCAAAAAACAAAAATCCCTCATTTATAGAAAAAAAGTAATTCTTTAGATTAAAAAAATAAACAATAAGGGCACAGAGAAAAAAATATTAAAGGAAAGGTTGTTAGTCAGATTTTCATGACTGTGACACAATACCTGATGGAATCAACTTACAAGGGGAAAAGTTTATTTTTAATCACAGTTACAGAGGTTTCATCCCATGGTCACTTTTTCTCATGGTGGCCAGAAATCAAAGAGGAAAAAATCAGAAGGGGCTGGTGTTGATACTCCTTTGAGAACTTGCCTCAGTGATCTAACTTCCTTCCACTAGGCTCCACCTCCTAAAAGCTCCATAATCTCTCACAAGTGGCTGGGAACCAGGCCTCCAACACATGTGCTTCTGTGGTACATTCAAAATTGAAACTATAGCAGAAAAAGAATTATATTTAACCTTATTCTAATGAGAATTTAGAGTCTGAATAAAACAAAAATATTATTAATATTAGTACATTAAAAAGCAAGGCTACAGAGAAAATGGGAAGAAGCAAACTTGATATAAATTTTCCCTCTTCATAAATCCTTCACAACAAGGGAATCACATCAATGTACACTTTGAAGATGAAATATTGTGCTCCAATAAAATCAGTCAATGACTAGGAGCTATGGCTCATTCAAACATGAAGGGCGAAAATGCTCTCAGACCCACTGGATCTGCAGAAGTAGATGGTTCTGAAATTCCTGTGATAAAAAAATTACCTAAGGACATTTTTCAATCAAATGAGAAATTAAACAAAATAATGGTTAGTAACTGAGAAAATATGATAGTAGAAAAGAAATTAAGAAAAAGAAACTCACAAATCTTGGATTTTTTTTTCACATGTGCATTCAAAACATAGTAAAGAAATATAATGATTTGTTAAAAAACAATAATTGAAAGAGGTTATTAATAAAGTAAAAACATTCATAAATTTTAATCTAGATTTCAAATCAGACATTATTGAAAAGTACAAATGAAGGAGGAAAACAGAAGCCAGTGAAGTCAACATACTTTGAGGTGTAAATACTGTTTTATGATTGATATTAATAGGGGAGCATGTGAGAGTTATAACTTTCCAATCACTAGGGAGCACAAGAACAAGCAAAATGTGTGAAGTGTTCATTTTTTAGAAAATTCCTTTTTTTCGCTAGCAATTTTTGATGATTTCTTTCTATGCATATACATAATCTCTTTGATAGTACCGTATTATATTCTGTTGAATAACTACCCCACAGCTTTTTAACCCACCTCCTATGTTTAATGTATTGGATATGCTGCCAAACCGTATTCCAGAGAGTTTATTATTTTACAGCCCACCAGCAATGAATGACAGTGACTGTCACCTCACATCCTAGCCAACATGCTGTTAGAATAAAAATATATCAGTACTGTCTCATTTTAGTTCAACCACTAAATATTTCATTCATATGGGAGGTTTTTCCTGCCCTGAAATAAAATGTTTAATTTTGCTTAAAAATGAGTTAGTGATATATTTATATGCCAAGTGTAGTTTTCCCCACAAAATAATTTAAAATCTGTCTTTCAGACTAGGACCAACTGCTAAATGCTTTCTCATTTGAGCAAATATTTTGTTTTGGGCCAAAAATTACAGTCAAATACCTTCAAAATATTTGGTAATAATTATCATCATTCTATTTGATAAGACAAGAGTCCTTTGGTGGATATAGTTATAAAAATTGTGTTATTAGCTTTATAAGTGATATGTGTGATTTTAACATACAGATTTGAGATGTTCACTTTTATTTGTACCATTGCATAAGAGGAACATAATAATGAATTACTACGTTTCCAAGAGTTTTTTTTGATACAACACTTATGTCACCATTCCACCATCATCGTCCTCTTTGTAAAACAAATGATATTTTAAAATATATAAAATTAAGGAACAATCAAGAAAACTTAAGAATCTCAAGTTAAAATGTAATCTAACCATTAGCATGGATGGTAAAATAAAATATTTTAATTTGAAAAATTTAATAGCACCACAGAATGCCAAACTGGATAATTTTGAATGAATATAAATCTGTTTTCATGGAATATAAAACACACTTAGGTGTAAAATAGTGAAAGCATCATAAATGGGATTGCACTTTTGGTGGGCAACAGTAATCCAGACAATTAAGTGAGCAAAAAATATATACACATCAATCTAACAACTCCAAAAGTTATTCCTTGCATCCTTGGCCATAATAAAGACTAAAAGATTATGTGAACTGTCATGAGTTGCATACTGGTACAGTAAGTTGGAGTATACTGCTCTGAGGTGGCATTATGCAGTCATTAAGAAGAGTAAGAGAAACACAACTGAAATGTATCATATTTTTACACCATATAGACTGCACACAGGTCAATGATATACATGAAAGGTAAAATTAAAATTAACGAAAGAAAATATTACATAATTTTGGCTACTCAGAACCATGCAATAGGCTTAAACATTTTTTTTCCAAATCATAGACCATAAGAAAAAAATGGTTTGATAACAAAATAAAAGTCTGAGATGAAGAAATCATAATATGGACAAAGTTGAGGGACAGATAATAGCATGATATATCTTTACAAAATTGAAAACTGCTAAGAAAATAATACCTTCCATATATAAGGAGATTCTAAAACTAACAGGAGGACAATGAACCAACATGTTGGTAGGCAATTTACCTAAGTATAAATCTGAAAATTCACAAGTTAAAGAATTTCAAACTAAAACAACAATAAAATATCACTTCATCTATTAAATCACTGCAGAAAGCTGGGTAAATATGAATAGCAATATAGGGATGCAAAACCCTGATGCCCTTCTGGTGGGAGTACAGATGAGGCAGCTATTCTGGATAGTGGGCTGGTGGAATTCAGATAAATATATGCACCTCACTTACACCAATGGTTCTGCTCATAGGCATCTATACCAAAGAAAATCCTTCAGATACATGCAGGGTCATGCATTAGTATGTTTCTTTTTTTGTTGTTTCTTTTTATTTTTTTTAATTCTAATTTGTTATATATGACAGCATCACAATTTATATTATATATATATAAGAACACAATTCATCATATCTCTGGTTGTATACAAAGTATATTTACACCATTCATGTCTTCATACATGTACTTAGGGTAATGATATCCATCTCATTCCACCATCTTTTCTACCCCCATACACCCTCTCCCTTCCCATCCCTTTGCCCAATCTAGATCTAGAGTTCATCTAAATCCTCCCATGCCCCCCCTCCCAACCCCACTATGAATCAGCCTTCTCATATCAGAGAAAACATTTGGCATTTGGTTTTGGGGATTGGCTTACTTCACTTAGCATTATATTCTCCAACTCCATTCATTTATCTGCAAATGCCACAATTCTATTCTCTTTTATTGCTGAGTAATATTCCATTGTGTATCTATACCACATTTTCCTTATCCATTCATCTATTGAAGGGCATCTTGGTTGGTTCCACAGCTTAGCTATTGTGAATTCTGCTGCTATAAACATTGGCGTTGCTGTATGCTGTTTTTTAGTCCTTTGGGTATAGACCAAGGAGTGGGATAGCTGGGTCAAATGGTGGTTCCATTCATAGTTTTCCATGGAATCTCCAGTCTGCTTTCCATATTAGCTGCACCAATTTGCAGTCCCACCAGCAATGTATGAGTGTGCCTTTTCCCCCACATCCTCACCAACACTTATTGTTGTTTGTATTCTTAATAGCTGCCATTGTAACTGGAGTGAGATAAAATCTCAGCATATTTCTTTTTATGGCATGAGAAGTTGGAGACAGCTTCTGAATAGCCCTCCCTGGGACTGAATGAGTAAAACACGGCAGATGTACACCATGGTGTATCATGTGGCTGTGAGAAAGAAAAAAAGTGATAACATGCAGACACATGAATGTAAACAAGTAATGAGGAAGAAAAGTAGTTGGCTGGTTTGATTTTTTCTATTGCTTGGTACCTTTATTTTCATTAGTGGATGTTTTTATTGTTGTTATTCCCAAGCCTCCACTGGCCTTAGATTCAATGTCTTACTCTTTGTCTACTTTATTTATTTATTTCCCCCCTCATTTTACTTATATATTTTTAAAATTTTTTACTCTAATTTGTTATATGTGACAATATATCTGCTTGTCTAATTTATGATGTCAAGACTTTTTTTTATGAAGACTTCCTTTATATATATATATATATATATATATATATATATATATATGTATATATATATATTTGGCAAAAACTTTCTCTGTCTGTATGACATTAGATTCATTCCAAAAGTTTAGGAAACATTGTATATTCATTGACATTTAGTTAAATTTGAAGAAAAAAAATTTTTTTTGAATTATGTTGTGTGGTGTTTTGTGTTTTGTTTTTTAATTTATGGGCTGTTTTTTTGTTTTGTTTTGTTTTGGTTTTTTGTATCAGGGATTGAATTTAGGGGCACTTAACCACTGAGTCACATCCCCAGCCATTTTTTATATTTTATTTAGAGACTAGGTCTCCCTGAGTTGCTTAGAGTC